ATTGAGGAGGAAAAAGAGACATTTTGCCAATGGAACAAGACAATTTACATTTAAAATAAGAAAAAAAACAACTGCATTGTCTTATTTCAAGTGCATTTGAACTAAATATCTTATTTTAAGAGTAAAAATACTCATTCCATTGGCAAACTATCTTTTATCTACTCAAATTAGGGGTAAATACACTTAATTTAAGATTTTTTTTACTTATTTCTAAATAGTTTTTCCAGTGAACTGGATCAGCTGCATCCCTCCACCTTAAAACAAGGTGGTGGAGGAATCATGCTGTTGGGAATCTGCAGTTTTGGCCATTTTTTTAGGTTTAAATACTGATTTAAAATGTTAATTTTCCACTTTAAAACATTAAAGTTTGTTTAGTTGGATTGAAAGAATAGTTCAAGGGGTAAAAAATAAAATAAAAAAACTGCTCTCTGAACTGAGCACGGTGGCTCAGATACTTTGTTTTTGCAAGTCAAAAGGAAGCTGGCACTAACTGAGAATGCTTAGGTGCGGAGATGAGAGTTGACCTTTTAAAAAACCAAAAACAAATAATACCTAAACTAAGTCTCTACTCACACATCGCCCAAAAAAAATGACTGGGAACAACCAGAGGAGACGGGGATCAACACAGGCTCAAGTCAACTGCAGGAGGAAAAGATCTGTGACGACAAAGTTAGGAAGTAAACTGCTACTCAGACTAAAACATCCACATTTACAAAAATGTTTGTTAAAGATACAAAAAAAAAAAAAAGAAACCAACCTCTTAAAAAAAAAAACTCATAATTTCAAAATAAAATCATTAATTCTTTCAATTAATAAATACATCATTCATAATCCTTAAACACATTGAAAAAGAAAACAGAAAAAAATGAGAAATAAATTAAAGTGGAGTCGCTCGAAGAGCCAACGACTCATTCAATCCTATTATAGGGAGGCGGCGCTCCGAGTAACTTCCTGTTAGCTTTCTAAGTGATAAACGGCGCAGAGGGGAGAGGCAAGCCCGACATCAGGGCCGCCTCTCCTCTCGCCCCACAGTCATTATTGCTGGTGTGATTGAGATAAAAAGAGGGGAAGGGAAGGAAAAATACAAAACAATAAGCACCATTTGAAATATCAGTTCACAGCCGCCTTGTTTTCTGTGTTTTTTTTGTTTTTAAAGCACCACGTTTTCTGCTAAGATCCGATCCTGGAGGTGCAGCTCGGTTTCCATCGCTCCTTTCATCCTCACAGGGAAGCAAGATAAATTTAAAGCAGGAGAGGAAGTTTAAGCAAATGTGATTCAGCTTCCGCTCTGCGACGTCCTCCTAATCAGCTGCTCTTTGTTGGGTAGATTTCAGGTCCTCCCTCCGCTTCCCGCTCTGCCTCAGTTTGGGTTTTTGTTCTTAGTGTGCTTTTCTTTCTTGCCATCATGCACCTGCTCTTTCCTAAACCGATACCCTGTCTCCTCAGCATGCACAGTGAGCGCGTCATACGTGTCGGGGTTTCGTTCAGGCAGTGCATCCGATTCTTTTTTTTTTTCCTCCTCCGCAGCAGAAAGGTGACTGAAAACAAACACAAATGTTTATCTTTTCCGTTTTTTTTTTTTTTCCTAACCCAGAATGATGTTTTCCGTTTCTTCTCTCAGGTGAGGGAGGGCGTTACACAAAAACTCGACTCTGTCTGTTGAGTTTGAGGATCTTGCCAAGTCTCTGTTTGGGTGTCGCCATTCCTTTTTTGGGCCTTTTACCTAAAAACAAAACAAAAATCAAAGCAGGAGCACATATTTTAACATTAGTTTCTTTTAGGAATTAAATTATTATTAAGTAGGAAAAAACAAAACTAAAGGTTCTCTTAATATACCCATTTTGTATGGAAAATGACCACATCATAATGCTGCCACCACCATGTTTCACAGATGGACATAGGGTCAGGTGATATGGACTTAAAATGTTATAATTAATGGAATTATGAGGATAACCATAAAAGTGACGACTAGCTTTGACTGATTGCTTCTGAATCATGGCCGCACAATCAGAAGAACTACTTTGGGTTCGATTTGATTCAAATAAGTTTCTTTTTGACACCAGTTTCATAAAAACTAACAAAAAAAGCGATTTACATGAAACAACAACAACCTCCAAGTAGCCACATTTAATCATATTCATCAAATGTGTAAATGACCCAACTGAAAAAACTCAAGGAAAAAATCTGAATCTTTTTACTTTTAAAAACATCACTAATTCTAATTCATCATTTAGATGATAAATCTAAATCCTTATTGTGATCGGCCACATATTTTTATAAATCCCTAAAGCGTGACGTTTGTTTGGATTTAGTCGAGAAAACCTTCCGAAGTCAAACAAATGGTAGCTAATGTTTATCAATCTGGTAGCATTGTGCTTAAATATCAAATAAAACCGG